AGACATTGGTTGTAACTTTATGTAAATTAGAACTCAATTGGATGTGTGTTGAAGTCATCTTGAATAAAGGCAAGTTCAAGGAGTCATGAGAGGTCAAGAAAATGAAAAAGAGCAAGGGGAAGTATCATGACATGACTCGGGAACCCAAAGGAATAAAGGAGATGAAGAAACATGCATTTTGAAGTGAAAAACATGGGTCACGCTGGTGGTCACGCCATGACTGCCAACGTGACACCATTCTGCTTTGTACTTTTCTCTGTCAGGCAACGTCTCGATATTTTGAGCATATCTCAAGCTAGGAGTGTTAAAATGAGATGATTCAAGTGGCATTCGAATGGCAACTCAAAGGGCTACAACTTTAATAATACCATAAAGGCTAATTCGGAAGTCTACAAGGTGAAAAATGGTCTAGAAATCAGAACTGCTGCGTAGAGTGGGTGGTCACGGTTGAGGTCATGGCGTTCACTCAACTGTGACCTCTGGAACCTGCGAATTATGCTGAAAAGTGACGGTGGATGTCACATCATAGGCAACACCACTCAGGATGCAACCTACCATTCACAAGGTAGAGTACATCAAAGACATGCATAAGCAAGGAAGTACAATAAGTCACATAATGACACATTCATGTTTCGAGTTCCAACCTTAGTACTACCCTTATGGCTACCCCCGGCCTTATCACAGTTCCAACCTGTACTTTCGAGTGCCACCCTGTACTTCTGAGTCCAACCTTTTCTCGGTCTGGGACCGTCGTCCTCCACCAATTAGAATACCACCGATCTCAAGTACACGAGGGTACTGTTCAATTCATAATCATATACCACCGATCTCATGTGAGCAAAGCTCAAGTCACAAACCACCAATCTCATTTATAGTCACACATAGTCATCATCATCAAGAGGATTGAGGCTCATCAATAGCCTCAATCAAGCATCAACAAAGGGTACAACGATTTGTACAATATAACGTCATAAGAATCAATCAAGAGATTTCAACAAAGTCATGAGACAATACTCAACAATAAGGACTACCATCCAACATCAAATGATTGGCAACACAAGTTACCAATCCTCAACAAGAAGGAACAAACCATACATACTAGCATATCAACATCAAACTAGCATGCTCATCAAACGGATAAACCAAAAGGATTTTAACGAACCTTCAAGACTCATATTAGCCCAACGAATCACAAAGTTGGACCCTTAGCACGATTTAAGACACCAAATCCTAACATGGATTCCTAACACATCGTTCTAGACATACGAAACGTCAAGAAGACTCACAAACAGCTCAATAATTCAACAACGGGAGGTCAAAACATCAACACCAAGAAGAAAAGAATCACGGGGAACAAATCCCCGCACTCGCATCACATGTTCCCCGCGGGTGGGGCCACGGGTAGGCCCCCCACCCGTGGGCCTGCCCGCGGGGTACACTCCCCAAAACACCACGTTCCCCGCGGGTGGGGCGGCGGGTAGGCTACTGCCTGCCGTTCCGCCCGCGGGGTACAATACTTGTACACATTTCCCTTCAGGGATTTTCATCATCAAGGTCAAGTTCAAGTCCAAAACACCCAAAATCTCACACACAACAAAGATATGACTTGAACCCAAGAAATAGCCAAGCAATGGCATTCAAGAAACCTAAATACAAGCTCTAAACATGCATCATCACAAGATCATGCATCAAATCACAAATCACACCAAGAACATCAAGTAGAAGCCAATAATCATCATTTAGGTAAGAAAATAAGTTTTGTATAGCATGTGTTACCTTTGTAGTTTACCAATCCAAAAGCAAAGCCAACCTTAGACTAGGCTCATCCCATAAGCCAATCTAACAAAAAGGGGTCATGCGAAACAAATCGGGCTTTCACTAATTAAAACAGGGGATTTAAACACTAGTCTAACCTATGATTAAGACTAGGCTTAACTAATTAATGCTATGGTGAGAATTAAACCCTAACCAACCACAATCATAAACACCCCGGCCTCTAACCACTAAGCTAGGCTGCTTCTTATTAACCTAAACAACACTAAACATACCTAAGCTAAACTAAGCATCACAACAAGAGGGAACCAGAAGCTCACCACTACTTCTTCTTCCTCATGCAGCTAAAGACGTGGGTGGAACCACGGTAGGTTCCACCACCCGTCACTCCTCCCTTGCCTGCTGCCATGCCAGAGAGAGACGCCGGAGGGTGGGAAGGTCGTCGCTGCTGCAGTCCGAAGCACCGCCGTCGCCGACGAAAAGAGAAACGTCGAGAAGCTCCGTACGCCGTTCGTCAAACCCGCCGAAGCTACAACTTGCCGGAGCTGCCATCGTATCAAAGCCGCCGACTTGCTCTGCCTACGCCAAACGGGGAGTTGCCCTGCTGCAAGCTCTGCCCATGCAGGAGGAAACGCTACTCGCCGGAGATTCCAGCCACCACCACCGAACCTGCTTGAGCCTCCGTTGTTGCATGGAGCTATTCTCCCTCGCTGTCGGTCTCGTTGTTGCTGCCTTCCATCGCTTCTACAGACCACGAAAAGAGGGAGAGAAGGGAAAGATGGGGTTTTTGGTCTTGAGGGAGAGAGGTGAGGGCGGGGGTTGTTGATGATGGTCGGTGTTGTTTTGAGAGGCTCAAGGTGCTCTGCTATTGTAGCTAGATCGAGGAAAAGAAGCAACGAGGTTCACGGCTGACTTCATGGACAAGGGAAATGGTGATACAATACATACACACACACAATAAAGAGTAGGGTTTGTAATTATTAGGTTGGGTTTAAGCTAGATTGGGTTAGGAAAAATCTTTTGGGTCAAGAATCATACATACATATATTTTGGGCATACAAAATAATAACACTCATATATATTTATATATACACTCATGGGCTTGACTATTTGGGTTCAAGACCCATATAATATATATAGGATTAGGATGATAAAACACTTGGGCTCAAAGAGTAATTACTAGGCTTTAGGGATTAAAACCATTTTGGACTCAGAATATTTGGATACCAAAATACTGGTTCACAATTCTAAATAGACCAGAGCCCATTTTAAATTAAATAACTATATAAATATTTTTAATAAAAATATTTAATATCGGGACTATAATTTATTTTAGGAAAATACGGGGTGTCACATCCTCACCCCCTTAAAAGAAACTTCGTCCCCGAAGCTTAGAAAATCATTTTGGGGATAGAGCGTAAAAAAAAATACGATAGTATATAGAGAAATATTTTACGGGAAAATATATATATGCTAAGTTTTGGAAAGGTTCGGTTTGGTAAGGAAAAGAGAATGAAAGTTTTAGGTTCCAAACTTGAGGACAACGTTAATTAGGAATAGGATCAAAGTCATCAAAGTTGCAACTTAGGAAATAAGGTTGCCACCTTGCACAGAATCGTTTGAAGTGAGGGATCAAGAACGAGGTTTGAAAGGGTTGAAAGGATTTCCTAACGAAAGGGTACTAGGTTTAAGCTCAAGGATAACACTGATTAAGAAGGGAATCAAGATTTTCAAGGTTACAACTTAGGAAAACGAGGTTGTCACCTTGTACAAAATCAAATTAAGAAGGACACAAGAACGATGCTCGAAGATATAAGAAGGATTTCTTGGAAAAAGACATTTGGTTTGACAAGGGAAGGAGGGGAAAACGGCTTAAAGAGGGTTAAGGATTCTCGACTTCAGGCGACTTCTTCGACTTGACGCTTCGATCATTGCACTTTTGACGAACTAAGGGTTCCTTACCTTGATTCTGACGCTAAGATCTTTATCAGACCTTCTTCATAAGCTGAGATCACAAACATCTTCACCCAAACTTCTTTCAAACACTGGTTTCTTCCTCAACTTTGTCATAGCCGAGCGAAACTCACGCGGTGCATCACAAACGCACTCCTCCAAAGTACTCCAAGTCTTTGTCCAACTAGGTGGCTAAACCAAGCTTTAGGTTACTTTTCCCAACTCTTCCCAAGATCTCACACGGACTAGGCAACTGTGAGTTGGCTTTCTCTCCTTATCGGTCTTCCTCACTATGTTAGTAACGAAACTCTTAGCAACCTTCCTTAATATTCATAGAGATTCAGCTTGTTGTCCGTTCTTGTTAATCCATTATCGGTTAAAACACTAACCAATGCTTCCCTCTTTCTTTAGGTGCACCCAGTTGACTATTCTTGTCATCCCAAGACTTTGGTGATTTACAAACCAAACTTTCTTCCTTATCGTACCTGGAGACCATCGAGGTCTAAACACCCACGTAATACCTGTACCTTCCTTAGCATCGTGAACCTTGGCACTCTAAATCCCACAAAATCTTGTAAAGAGTCCTTAGTATACCCAATCGATAACTATCACTGTAAGAAGCTTGCTTCAACCTTGGGGCACATTCCACAACATTTGTAGTTCCATAGCGCAAGTTTCCAACTTGCCTTCTTGGTTTGTACGATCCTTTCCCGTTAACCACTTCTTAGCTGATTGAATCGCGGAGTCGATCAACTGCGACCTCACACTTTTAACACAAACGATAGTACCTTTCCAAAAGTGTGACGTAAGTCAAATCTTCATCAAAGTCAACATCTTGAGACAACCCATGATTCCTTACTCAAAGATTTACTCAAGTCCTTACTAAATGCTCCGTATGTTAAAACTCGTTCACGGTTGATAACCTTGCAATCTTCATAAGGTAGTCGGCTACAAACCAACTTTGTCTTTTCTTGTCTTGATTAACGGTAGGTCTTCTCTGAAAACTTCGTTTGCGCACGAACCTGTCTTACTTATGAAGATCCAAGAATAGAACTCGTCTTTAAGTTCATTCTTGTCAATCTTATCCTTTTTACTGTTCAATCTTCCCATACAAGATTAGTTACTTCCCGTTCATTCCTTTCTTAAGTCAATGATAGGTCTCTTACCAGAAATCATCGGCACAGAGTCCTACTCTTTAGCTTAGAACACTCGGTGATTAAAATCCATCCTTTAGATTTGCCTTTGTCGGGGTTAGTCTTTTGACGGCTCCACCGATTGATTGCAACTCGGTTATTTCTTCTTTCCTTCTTGTTGCCAAACCTCCACTTCCGATTTAAAGATCAAGAATTCCTATTTAGCTTCGCCTGTTGTTCTCAGTAAATAAATATTTGTAAATTGAGAAAAATCACCAATGAATGTAATGTAATAACGCTTCCCACCTCTGCTTTTAGTGTTTTTAAAATCAGTAAAATCAGTGTGAATTAGTTCTAAGACAGATATAGTATGATGATTTGTACCAGAAAATGATTTTCTAGCAAATTTAACTTCAACACAAATTTCACACTTAGAATATGAATCATTTGTCAAGTTCGGCAATAACTCCATATTCTTTAGTCTATTCTAACATTTCAGACCAAGATGTTTTCCATAATGTGCATCACAAATAGGCCAGTGCTACTGACTCTATTACAATGCAAGATCTGTGCATGCATCATTCTTAAAATGGTGTGGTGTGCATGCATCCTGCGTGGTGTGTGCATTGTGTGATATCAGAGCAATATATAAAATTTTAATATTAACTTTTATTTTAATGACCATGTCTTTAATGTAAATTTTGTGTCATTTTGTTCTTATTCGCATTGTGAAAACTGTATATGCGCATCACAAACAGGCTAATACCGCCTTCTCTAAAGCTCAAATTTTATTCACAAATCGTGCTTTGTTACTGAACATCTACATATAGACAAGAATTTAGGAAATCAATCAACTCCTGTGTAGCTCCCGGCACCTGCGGCGGGAGGGAATCAATAATAGCTGTCTGAATGGTATCTAAATCAACAGTGAAATCAACCTCAATTGGGTACTGGCCTACAAAGAGCTCCCAAATAACCATTCTCATACCCCAAACATCTAACGGAAAAAGGCGTCGGGCATTTAGTCCCCTTCTGAAGCGGGCAACCTGTATTGCCTCGGGGCTCAAATATTGAGGCCCCTGATTCGGAAGGACCGGCCTGACTGTCGTCTGCTACAAGGACGGGATAACATGACTCATTGGATCCACTACTAACCTTAAGTGCCCAAAGCTGCAAAGTTTGATGATCATGTTCTGGTTCACCTCATTATTATGTAAGATGTGATTAGGCTAAATAGTGAGAAGCAGGATACGTGTTCTGGTTCACCTCATTATTGTGTAAGATGTGATTAGGAGGCTAAACAGAGAGAGGCAGGATACATGTGTGCGTTGTGTGTTATCAGAGCAATAATTAAGGCACGTGCATGCGTTGTGTGATATCAGAGCAATAATAATTAAGGCTGAATAGTGAAAGGCATGATACGTGCGTGCGTTAGAGCAATAATAATTTAGGTTGAAAAGAGAGAGGAAGGATACAAGCGTGCGTTGTGTTATCAGAGCAATAATTAAGGCACGTGCATTCGTTGTGTGATATCGGAGCAATAATAATTAAGGCTGAACAGTGAGAGGCAGGATACGTTCGTGCGTTGTGTGTTATTAGAGCAATAATTAAGGCATGTGTGTGCGTTGTGTGATATCAGAGCACTAATAAATAAGGCGCGTGCGTTGTGTGTTATCATAGCAATAATTAAGGCATGTGCGTGCGTTGTTTGATATCAAATAGAGAACATAAACTTAATATTTGGATAATTACACCTAAATTTTAGAAACAGTCACTACAATTATAGACTATATTGATATTCTATATTTTCTTGAAGAAGCTGAAACACAAAAATGACTAAGTATTGAGCAAATTTTCAACTACTAAATGGTCATTTTTTTTTCTCTTGTAACCAATACTAGTTGAATTGACTAACTTCCCTCATTTTTTTCTTTAAACTGTTGGTAGCTATCAACATTTGAAGTATGACAGTGATTTGAAGAAAACCTTTTCTTTGTATATGTGAAAGATACCATTTTATACTCCTTAAAAAAACATTGATAATTGCACAAGAATGATTACTAATAAGCAGATTTCTCAGTCATTTCGAAATTATTTCTTTTTTTTTTTGAATAAAAAAAAAAAAAAAAAAAAAAAAAAAAGAAAAACCTTGATGGTAAACCATAAGTAAAAAAGTACATATAATTCAATACTTAAAAACTGTAATGCCTCAACACCACATCCAACTTAACACTACAAACCATGAAAATAGCTAAATAATCCTACACTTTTTAGCCACTACAACCTCTAGGAACTCCTCCATGAGAGACCTCTTCACAGGTTCTATAATTGTGCCCCTTAGCCTGCCTTGAGAATATCCATCACTAGTACTGTCTATTCCAAATAGATCCTAAAAACATAAATAAAACACTAATTAGACAACAGTAATATATAAAATATTACATATTCCAATCAATGTATTTGTACCTAATGTACCTGTGCATGTTCTTCACTAAAAGGCCCATTCACAGAACTAAAACCAGTCCCCTTCAACTTCTTATCAGAATCATAACCCAACTTAAATACATCAAATTCATCTTTCACAAAGACAAAAAAATATAATAAAAGTACATCATACAAAATATGAAAACTACAAATATGTAATCAAATAAATATACCTTAACAATATTATTAAAGCTTGTGATCAAACCGACATTTCACCATCACATGCCAAGTTACCACAACACTTGCCAACAATATTACCATATTTGAAAATACCTACCTACCACCACAAAAGATGAGTACAGTATTGCAACTTGCTTCTTTTTCATCACAAATGTATACACCTCTTCAATTTTAGTAACCACAACCAAATCAGTGGAAGAAGACCCTACTAACTTAACCAAAGAAAGCCTAAATGCAGATTTAACTCCCCATTATATAGGTACAGTCAGAGAAAATGCTGATAAATTTGAAAAAAAAAATACTTACATCATAGCTCACAAACTATAATAAACTAAACAGAATATTGATATTCTCTGATTAAACAATACAATAAATAAAAATAGCTCTCTTCAAAAGAAACAAATTCCTTAGAGCGATGGTTGAACCAAAGCTTTGTTGCATTATGAAATAAACATGCTATACCGTTGACAACCTTTGCCTTTTCACTTTCAGGTACAGCTATTAAGCAACAATGAATATGGGCACTTATGTAATCTCCCTTGTAACCCTCCCTTGATCAGTTGTAACAGACCTTACCGTCACCTTCCTTCTTTATATCCATCACGTAATATCCAGTGAATGTTACCAAGAATAATGAGATATAGTTTTCCTCTCTCTACATTTCTTTACAATCGATTTGCTTGATACCGCACCGCCGCTCTTCAACATGGTATCAGAGCTCGGGCGGAGCGACTATGCAGCCGTCATCGCCGATACCAGAGACTCTAGTCAGAGAAATCATCCATCGATGCTGGTCAACCAATCTCCCAATCGAACTACACCTACAATCAATCTTCTAAGAACTCCGCAAAGGAGTAACAGATCGGAGGACATAGAGAATCCCTTGTTCTTGAGCAGCAATGACAACGCCAACAAGCCGATGCCAGCCATATCAGTAGCATCCGCATCCGCATCCATGAATAATGAAGCCAGTACCACAAATGAGCAGCCCCAGAAACTCATTTCCCTCTCACAAATTGAAATAGGACAGAATCAGCCCCCTACCATATCCGCTGTTACTCTAAAGCCTTTTCCAAATGAATGCAAACTCACTATCAATTCTAATGTCAATTCTGTTTCTCTACAATCTTCTAATTGGATATTGGATTCCGGGACCACTGACCATATAATATGCTCCTTGGATTTCTTTGAGAGTTATCATTTTGTGAAAAGGACAACAGTCAATCTACCTGATGGGAAACAAGCAGACGTTACACATGCAGGGCACATAAAACTGAGGAATACTCTCTCTCTGAAAAATGCATTGCATATACCCTCTTTTCAAATTTAATATCATATCTGTTAACATGCTTCTTCGAGATTCTCCTTATGAACTGATTTTTAATTCTCATTGGTGTCTTCTACGAGGAAACCATGGGAAGGCAATTGTTTTTGCTAAAGAAGGGAATGACTTATATCTGCTGCTTGAGACACTAGAAGTTCAAACACCTAATCATAAACATTTTGCTATGCCTTGTAGTATTGAAGTTTGGCACCAAAGACTAGGTCATTTTCCTTTGAATAAGATGCATCTGCTTAATGATGTTCATATTTCTCATTCCAAGAAAACAGCATGTGATGTTTGCCATTTTGCAAAACATAAGAGATCACCTTTCCCTTTAAGTAATACAATGTCCAAAGCCTGTTTTGAATTGATTCATGTTGATATTTGGGGGCCTTTTGTGGCTCAATCTTTGGGAAGGGAAAGCTATTTTCTAATAATTGTAGATGACCATTCACGATATACATGGATTCACTTGATGAGAAATAAATCTGAAACACAAAGCCTAATTAAAATGTTTCAAAGGATGGTTCATACACAATTTGGCCTCATAATCAAGACCATTCGAAGCGACAATGGACTGGAATTCAATATGAGGGAATTTTTTGCCGAGAATGGAATAATCCACCAGAAGACTTGCGTCAACACACCACAACAAAATGCAGTGGTTGAACGCAAACACCAACATATATTAAATGTGGCCAGGGCTCTGAGGTTCCAAGCTAGCTTCTCACTGGAATTTTGGGGACAATGTGTTCTGCATGCAACCTTTCTCATCAATCGCCTTCCGTCACCCGTTACTGAGTGGTCAAACCCCTACAAGAGATTATATGGAAAAGAACCAGATCTTAATGTCATCAAGGTCCTTGGTTGCTTGTGCTATGCTTCTACCTTATCTCAATCAAGACACAAAATAGATCCTTGAAGCAAAAAATGTATTTTCATTGGAATACCTGGAAACATAAAGGGCTATATATTATATGATTTACATGATAATTCTACCTTTATCTCACGAGATGTGATTTTCTATGAAGGACAATTTCCCTTTGCAGAGAAGGAGTGCCAACTTGCTGCGAATAACTACCCACCAGCTGATCCCCCTCTGCCTATAATTCCCACATCCAACGATGATGAGTTCAGTTTTCAAGAATCTGGCAATATCCAATC